TAGAGGTCGGAACCGGTTGTAAATTTAGGAACCGAATTTGTTTCACGTGATTTAAAACCGGTTTCTCTTTTAAGCTAAACCGGGTGGTGTTTAAACCGAATTATAATCGGGTTGTATAACTAAAAATTATCAAAATGTTTTTTTTTAATGGATCTACATATTTTATGTATATATGTGTTGTGCTTACATTAACATATATATGTATATATAATATTTAATAAGCGAATAAGCATACATAATACATTTTATTAAGGTGTTTATTAATACCGGCATATGCATATTTGGTAAGCAAAAAACATTTATTTATACATACCAATGTACAAAAATATCTAATAAGCAGAACGCTATCCTATTGCTGTGAAAAAATTTTGATATACTTACTATTTCTCTTTAAAAATAGAACTTTATTTACCAGATCTGGTGCTAGCCGTGTTCTTTTTGATGTGATAAGATTACCTGCATCAGAAAATAATCTTTCAGATGGAACTGAAGAAGCTGGAATTGAAAGATATTTTTTAGCTAGCTGTGCAAGAATTGGTAACCCAGTTTTATGCAATTGCCACCATTTTATCGGGTCTTCATCAAGCCCAATACTATCCAAAGCTAAGTAACGTGTTATTTCATCTAATTCAATTAAATCTAATGCTTGTCGAGGTATTGTTTTTAATTGACTAAAAAATTCATCATCATCATCATGAATTGTTGAACTTTTTACCGTTTCATTTTTTTTCTTTACTGTTTCATTTGAAAAATTATTTAAATTCAATAAATCATTAGCTGTTTTCATCTCAATATAAGAATTTTCAAGTAATTTTTTTGCATATCCTAATTGTTCAGGTGCCCATTGGAAGGTTTTGAATCGTGGATCAAGAATAGATGCAATTAAAGCCAAATCTGAAGGTACAGTCCAAAGCTCATCCAAAGACAAAAAAATAGCAGCGCGAATCTTTAGTAATAAACCATCTGGATTAATAGCAGGCAAGTATTCAATTTTATTATTATCAGAATTATTGGTTTGCTGCATATTTTTTTGTTAATACTTTCTTTTTACTCCTATTCGTTTTTTTCTTCTTCCTCTTTTTATATGCTGACGGAATTGTCTATGGGCATATTGCCAATATTTGCGAGCTCCACCACTTGGTATATTATTATTATCACTAACAGAACTAGAACTATTATCAGTTAAACTATCATTTTCATCAGATAAAGTGCAACCATAAATTAAATCGAGATAAGATTTTTTTGTTTCTTCTTGATCGGGTCGAGGTGCAAATGACTTTTTTAGTATTTCCATATATGGATAAATCATACTAAATGTAGAATAGTTTGAACCTGAAATACGTTGTGTAATTTTTTCAAAAGGGGCTAGCATATTTATTATGTTGTAAAGAAATCTAAATATTTTATAATATTATATATAAGTATATATATGAAATAAATTGTACAATAATAGTTATTATATAGTTTATAAGCAATACTTACTGTTTTTCATCCAAAGTAAGACATAATTGTTTAAGTTTTTCACCTTCTTTTTGTAGCATTCGATCAGAAGTTAAAAGCAAAGTATTTGAAACATGGTGCATAGCATTGTGAAGTTCATAGATACGTTTCCAAGCATAAAATGTTGAATTCCAACGTGTTCTTGTATCATCTAGAACTTCTAATAAATTTATATTAATATTTTCAGCACCTAATTGAGATATATTAAGCTCATTCTGAGCAAGTCGAAGCCTTTCTGCTTGTTTTGGAAGTCTAAAAAAGGTTTGTAAGTTTTTTACCTGTCGATGAATATCTTTGCATTGCTTAAGCCCCTCTTGTACAGAAAGTTGTAATGTATGTGCAACGCATGGTTGTCTAACAACATGAGAACAAAAATTTTCTGAAAGTATATTTATTCCACGAATCATATTTGATCCATTGTCAGTTACTATAGCCAAGACTGAACTTTGTAAATCACATTTTTGAATTACTTTATATAATTCGTGACTAATAACTTCTCCAGAATGTGGATAGGGCAAATGATCACATTTTAGAAGAACTTCACGGAATTCAAATTCAGATGTTAGCCAAGTAGCAGTTATTCCAAGATATCCGTGTTGTGACTTTGCTGTCCATAAATCTGTAGTTAAGTGTATTACTTCTACACTTGTATTTAACATAATTTTCAATTGATTTTTACTTAATTGATATTCACGGTGAATTATATCTTTTGCTGTTTTTATACAGGGAAATTTGTACCCAGGTATGCATGTTTTTATCAGATCTTGAAACGATTCATCTTCCAAAATATATAATGGTTGTACAAATTTAATAAGAAAGGTAATCAACTTGTTAGTTACAAGCTCTTGTTGTTTTGATGTACAATAAGATACCATATCATGTATTTCGATAAGTTGATCCTTTAACTAATAAATAATAATAAAAACATTAATATATAAAATTAAAATTTTTTAATAATTTATTTAGAAAATATGTTACTTCATCATCAATGTTCACATATTCGAGATAATTTGATTTGGTAATACCGTGTTTATCTCGTAGATGACCAATTAAGTTGGAGGTGTTTCCGCCTTTTTTTATATAAGGATGGGGTTTTTTATTACTGCCAACCAAATTATTAATACAAATTTTGCAATAAACAACTTGAGGATCGGTTTCACTTTCTTCAAAAAAATATGTTGTATGACTTTGGTTTGATCGTGGCTTATGGTGAGTTTTTTGTCTTTTTTGTGTTTCTTTATTAGCATTAGTAAGAGAGGAATCAGAAGGTTGACTATCCGAATTTAGAGATTCTGAATGATCCATTGTAGAAAATTGACTATCTGAATTTAGAGATTCTGAACAATTTATTGTAGAAAATTGACTATCCGAATTAAGAGATTCTGAACGATTCATTTTTCTTTATTAATAAGCAATACAAAATGGTTCAATTTATCAATAAATAGCATTATTAATAAAGAAAAATAACGAATAATGACATAAATAATACATAATAAAAATTGATTTAATTTATCAATATATAGCACTTTTAAAGAAATAACGAATAATGACATAAATAATACTTCATAAAGATTGATTCAATTTATCAAATATATAGCATTGTTAATAAAGAAATAACGAATAATGACATAAATAATGCTTCATAAAAATTTATCATATATCATTTCAAAGATCACGCAATTTTTGAAATTGGGATAAAAATAAAACCGAATCTGATTTTAAAAACCGGTTTGTCTGAGTTTTATAACCGGGTTTGGGTAATTATAAACCGGTTTATTATTGACCCGAATTAAACCGAATTTAAAGTCGAATTATAGTAACCGGTTCCGACCTCTA